CCTGAACCGGGCCTGAAAATCATAACAGACTCTTTTTTTTAAAATCGCACTGCTGCTGGCCTGCATATATGTGAACCGGCTCCATAGAAAAGATTTTTGGTTCACATCATGCGAATCGGATGCTGTTCAAAATGCATTCAATTCGCATATTTGTGAACTGGGTCTTAGTGTGGAAATTGTCTTCCGTGAGTTCAGGAATGAAAATAAATTGTAATTTTTAACAGACGGAGATTGTTCTGTAAATAAAAGCACACAATAATGTTTTCAGTGTCATAATATTTCTGTGTGTATTTATTTACAGAACTTCTTGTGGTGTTGGCATTTAAAAAAAAGTTGTGAAAAAACTATGCCAAAAATACCGCTAAATTTAATAAAATAAAATATAAATATTTAGCACACTAAATAACACTTTTTTTTAGTGAATGACTACTTTTGAGAAAAATGCTACGTGAGTTATTTTAATGCAAAAATGTATGTCTTAGTGAATTGCCCCCTATGTCTCCTGTGGGGTAATCTTCTTTTTTTTTTTTTTTTTTTTTTTTTTTTTTTACATCAAGTTTATTGGATGGCAACAAAGTTACAGTCAAAGCAAGTAGGCAGAGAACAAAAAGAAATGGCATACAGGTTTACAATACCAGAATAGAACAGGTACAGATGGTAAGTGGACAGATCAGTACAACCTGTGGGGTGATATTAGTGGACAAACACATTTTCTGTCCTCCAAAAAAGTTAATTTGCAGGAACTGCTGGCTAGAGTTCTCTTGTTCGGAAAGAGAGAAAACACTGTGGATGGAAGACTCTCTGCTGCCAGCTATTCTATTCAGGCAGCCGCTGGCCATTAGTTTTCCAGCCAGCTCAGTTGACTTTTTCTCTTTACTGCTACTTTACCATTTCCAATTTATTCTTTGAAATGTAGGCTTTATGCCAGGGACAAACATTTCATGACAGCAGTCATGTAAAGTAGGATGATCTCCAAAATTAAATACTGCAACCAGACTGGTTCAGCAGGCACCAGTCAAGATTCGATGCATCTAAGGACAGTCTGGTTGTACTGAAGTAGTTCCATTAATCAGCTTCAGTACAACCAGCCTGTTGGGCATTTTCTTTCTATAGCTGCTGTCAGTGATCGTTTTCTGCTGGCAGAGAAGGCTCCTTGCCGGCAGTACACAGTAGGACTGCGGGAGGAATTCACTGATTGTGTTGATGGGGAAATCAAGCAATTTATTTTCCTGCAATCACATTGCATAATGTATGGCCTGCTTAGCTGTACTGAAAAAAATTGTTCATTCAAAGAAAATTTTCCATCCTGCTCCTTGAATTTTCACTGTGGTCAAAAACAAATGTTGATTTGACCTCACTAAAGATTCAAAAATCAAACGAACATTCCCCAAACAAAAGTTTTCAAACTAAATTCTATTAGTGTATGGCCAGTTTAAGGTACTCTGCTGCCGCTTGTACCCCAACAATGCTAACTTTCCACCTGAGACACTAATGGCTTCATTGCAGTCTGTGAAGGCAAAATGTAGATGCCTGGAAAGGTAGGGGACCACACAGGTTGCTTATAAAACATCCACTGGAGAGGAGCTGCTAGGCACGTATCAGTTCACATCCACAGGCAGCTCTGTTCCTAAAATGGGCAATTTATTATGTATTGTATATTTTATGTGCCGATTGTTCTCCATTATTATTACAGTATTGCATCTCTTATTCTGAGTAATAACAGGACACCATCCTTCCTGTATGTGGTTTTGTGTCCATGTCTTGTTTATCTAGTGCTGTGGTTACACCCTGTACTTCCCTTTTCACATCTCTGTCCTGTTCTGGCTTTCCTGGACATTCTGCCCAGGTCATCAGTCTTTCCCAACTACGGTACAGTAAAAAAAAAAAAACATTATTGGTGCTCTGCAGAGTGTCATGCTTCACATCCTGTCCTTTGGAGCAATGTAACACAGATCTACAAGGCTTCCTCTGCATGGGGCTCTGTCTCTGCCTGTGTTCTGTTTGAGATGAGTTTTATTTAGTGAAGATTTTTTGGATTTCTGGCAAAAGTGAACTTGTTGGTTGAACAACGTATTGAACCATATATATTGTGACTGTGCTGTACCTTGTCATGGTAGAAATTGGAGTATGTGTCACACAGTTCTTAGTGATTCAGGTTAAGGGGCTCCAGAATGTCTACTCTGAGCGGATAAAATTTGGTTTGATAGTTTTCTCTGGGATTGTCAGTTCCTGGCTTCGGTTCTGGAGTCCAGAGTCTCCAAAGAGTCTTGGGAGTTAGGAAGTCTCTAACCCCATGTCCACAGCTTGCAGGAGACCAGCAGTCTGTGTGTGCCCAGCCTAATTAACCACCTCCCACCCGCCATATAAAGAAATGACGGGCGCTAGGTGGTTCCCTCGTTCTGGGAGGATGTCATATGACGTCGTCCCACTCTAATCATCTAACGTCCCTGGACACAGCCAATGACTTCGGCTGGACACAGCCAATGACTTCGGCTCTGTCATGTGTGATCAACTGTGTCCAATCACAGCTGACCGCATTTAAATAAGGAAATGTCGGTTATCGGCATTTTTTCTCTTCTCGAGCTGTCACGCTGACATGCCCATCAATGCCATCTGTCAGTGCCCATCAGTGCACATCAATGCCACATATCAGTGCCCATCTGAGCTGCCTTTCAGTGACAACTATCAGTGCCACCTAACAGTTCCAGAAAGTGATGCCTATAAGTGCCATATATGAGTACTGCCTTTCAGTGCCCATCAGTGATGTCTGTGAATGCCCACCAGTGATGCCTGTCAATGCCCATCAGTGCCCATCACTGCAGCCTCATTACTGCACATCAGTGAAGGAAAAAGTACTCATTTACAAAATTTTATAACAGAAACTAAGAAAAAAACTTTTTTTTTTTAATTTTCAGTTGTTTTGGGTTTGTTTATAAAAAAAAAAAAAACAGTGTTGATTAAATACCACCAAAAGAAAGCTCTGTCTAAAAAAAAAATTTATAAATATTTCATATGGGTACAGTGTTGTCAATTGCTACAGCACAAGTTGATCAGGAGGTCCCAGCCAATGATTTATGGCCGAGACCTGTTGATGAGCTGAACGAATAACAGAAGTGAGCCCTGTGTTGGTAAGCAACACAGGGCTCTCTACAGACAGCAGTGATGTGCTGTTTTTTCTCTCCTTGCAAAGCAGGGAGTAAAGAACTGCACATTACTTAGCGAAAAACGGCACACAGTACACACACTAAACATTGTTAAGCACACAATAAACCCTATGATTGCCCCTAAATGTTAACCCCTTCTCAGCCAGTGTCATTAGTACAGTGACAGTGTATATTATTAGATAAGTAATTAGTGTTGCGCTACTCTGTGAAAAATGAATAAATGTATCACCATAAACATCTCATGAATAAAAAAAATAAGCATAATTCACTAACAATATACAATAAATAATAAAGTCCAACATGATCAATAGTGAAACAGTCTCTGTGCTTCTTAGCCAATGACTATCATTTACATCAGTGCTTCCACTTATAATCAAGTGCTCCACCACAAAAAGAAATTCGTGTCACCTCCACCTTAGAATTGAATGGCCGCTCACCTGAAGCATCGGACCTATATACATAGGTCTAACAAACAGTCATTCCAAAAATGGACAGCAAAAACTTGTAATGCATAATATTAATGGTGTTTGTTGAACCAGATAACGATACCTGTAAGGTCCTCTTCTCCACTCGGCATCAGCATAAGATATAAGAAAGGGCAGCCTTTGATCATATAATATATGTAGTTTATTCAATATAAACAGCCAAGTATGCACTTACAAAGATATAGTGTACAACTGCATATTAGCAAAACCCTGAACTTCCGGTCCGTGGCTCCGTAACTGGAAGTGACATCACTAAGCTCCGCCCTGCGCGTTACGCCACAAACCCACGATGCTTTATCAGGGATAGCTATCCCTTCCAGCTGGATCAGATAGTGATCTGATGTGAGGAAAGCACAGACAGTGCAGTAGTCAGACCTTGCAAAGGAAATCTGCATGTGTGGCTGTCGTAAAGACTTCATTGATGTCCAATTATTGCTTTTGTTAATATATGGTTATCACTTCCACCTGGCAGCACTAGGGTTGTCGATTTGAATCCCAATCATGGCACCACCTGCCTGGAGTTTGCATGTCCTCCCTGCGTGGGTGTCCTCCTGGTACTCCGGTTTTCTCCCACACTCCAAAGACATGCTGGAAGGTTAATTGGCTCCTGTCTAAATTGGCCCTAGTATGTGTATGTGAGTTATAGGCCTTAGATTGTGCACCCCTTGAGGGTTAGGGACTGATGTGAATGTAATATATATATATGTAAAGCTCTGCGTAAATTGACAGCGTTATATACACTCACCGGCCACTTTATTGGGTTCACCTGTTTAATTGCTTGGTAACACAAATTGCTAATCAGCCAATCACATGGCAGCAACTCAATGCATTTAGGTATCTAGACATTGCGAAGACCACTTGCTGAAGTTCAAACTGAACATCAGAATGGGGAAGAAAGGGGATTTAAATTACTTTGAACATGGCATGGTTGTTGGTGCCAGATGAGCTGGTCCGAGTATTTCAAAAACTGCTGATCTACTGGGATTTTCATAGACCATCATCTCTAGATTTTACAGAGAATGGCCTGAAAAAAATAAAATATCCAGTGAGCGGCAGTTGTGTGGGCGAAAATGCCTTGTTGATGTCAGAGGAGAATGGGCAGACTGGTTGCTGTGACATTCAGATGGTTCAGAATTTGACATAAACAAAATGAAAGCATGGATCCATCGTGCCTTGTATCAATGGTTCAGGCTAGTGGTGGTGGTGTAATGGTGTGGGGGAGATTTTCTTGGCGCTAGCAAGGTGTACCTAATAAAGTGGCCGGTGAGTGTAAGTACCAATAATAATAAATAAATATGGCTGTAAGCACTCCTTCAGCATACAACTACTAGAAACCATTGTTCTACTTTACATGGGACAGAGAAGAAGCTTCTCATCAATTATTAACCATACACTATGTGCATTTGTATTTTCAGTTCACAAACCAGAGAAAGTGAGCTGGGTGGAGGCTGCGGGCACCATCCGGGATGGACTGTGTGTGTATACCGCCCTGCATTCACTAGCACGCCTGGCACCCGGGAGATCTGTGCTGGTACTGGATGGAGCAAGTGTATGTAATACAAGTCGTCTATATAACGCATCACTCGGGTAACATGTACTGCTGTAGCCATCCTGTGCTTTACTGATTGGCAAGTGTGCAGAGTTAAGGAATTAAAGTGCATATACAACCACAAACTTTTTTTTTTTTTTTTTTTTTCTGGTTTAGGATGGAGTGGGGAAGATTAGAGAGCACCTGTCAGGCTCGGTTCACACTGCCGCGTCTTGGGTTCCGATTTGTAAGACCCCAAGTGGCATGACATCCCATGTTAGTCAATGAGAGCTGACTTAATTAGCACCACTGAAGTCTCTCCGACTTTAGAAAAGATTCCTGTACTACTTCAAGGCAACTTCTATCCGACCTGTGCCCATAGACTTTAATGGAAGTCGCCTCCAAGTCGGATCCTCATCTATAATGATGTGATTTGGATCTGACATTACAGGAAGATTACCCTGGCCTTCCCTGAAAGTTGCTTCAGAGTCGCTTCAAAGTAGTACTCAAGTCGCCTGGCCAGTGGTGTATTTGGGTTTTGTGCTGCCCTAAGCAACACAAAAATCATCTGCCCCACGGACACCAAATGCCCCCCCCCCCCCCCCTTCCACCTCCTGTGGAGAAAGCCTGACATTGACCAACAACAGCCCTGCCCCCCAACTGGGAGAGTCTTCCACTACCCCCCCCGCGATAGAGAGAAAGACACTCATCTTCACAGCTCCTGACATCCCCAGGAATGAGAGGCAGGCTCTGCATACACCATCAAGCAGCCCGCAGCCCCTCTCGGATCCCACCTTGTTCCCATGGCGTGTGTGTCCCTTCTTCCATCCCTTCTTCCGGGGGGAGATGCCCCCCCCCCCCCGGAAGAAAAATTCCGCCCTAGGCAAATACCTTGTTTGACTTGTGGTAAATACACCCCTGCGCCTGGCAAAGTTGCACTGTAAGACGGCACAACTTTCAGGCCGTAGTGGTGTGAACCGAGACTCGGGCTTTATTGGTACCCGGGGCTCCTTTGGAGAGATGGCCCCTTACTTCCTGTAACAATAGTTTACCAGACAAAAAGTGAGGGGAAACATACAGCAGGGACACACAGCAATAAAAAGTCTTCCCTTACTCTGCTAGAAAAAGTGTTTTTATTTCTCCCTGTGTAACTGTTGGAGATTTTCATCATTGTGATGGCAAAGGAGGGGAAATCTTCAGAACAGAGCCCCCGATAGCAATATCATTTGATCGGGGTTTTAATCCTTTTCCACTCCATGCAAAACATTTAAAAAATTGGTCGGAACACAGTATACTTATGTTAGATATGACCCCATGAACAGAAGAATGAAATGAGTCATGTCACCCCACCTCAACTGCTGCCTTGCCCTAATCCTTACAGTCGTTGTTAACCCCTACATATACCCAGTGAAGTGACTAGCCTCAGGTGATACACAGAGATAAACAACTCCTCCTACATACGTTGTACCTGTTAATCTGCTGTCTTCTCTTAATAGCAATACTCTGTAAAAGGGGAGGTCAAAGCCAACAAGACCAAGGGGAAATGCTGAGCGAAAGTTATAGGAAGCCAGTGGGTGATTCCGTCAATCAGCATCTATCCTGTAGGCCTCTCACACCTATCTAAACTAGGAAACATTAAAGTGTTACTAAACCCAGGACCCTGCATTCACTATATCTGGTCTTCCCGGACCCTGCATTCACTATATCTGGTCTTCCACGGTACACAAAACATGGAAAGGTAATTATTTTAGTAAATATAAACTGCTAAATACCTTTTCAGCAGTTTATAGCAGTATTGTGACTTCTGTCAGTGTCCAGCTGAGCATTGGTTAAAGCTTGTAGGAGGCGTTTTCATTCTCCTCTGACTGTCCTATAAGGCTGCATATCCCCTGACACTCTGATTAGCCCTGTGCTGATCACATGCATCCTCCCAAAGAAAGAAAAAACTCTCTAGAAATACACAGCAAAACACACAGGGCGGCATGGCTGCAGAAAAGTGTGTGTGTGTGTTCGTTTCCATACAAAGCAATGTACTTACAGTGTAAAGCGCGCGCACACAGAAACACAGTTAACCCTTTGATCGCCACAGATGTTAACCCCTTCCTGCCCAGTGCCATTACTACAGTGTCAGTGCTTTTTATTAGCACTGATCACTGTATTGTTGTCACTGGGGATGTCAGTGACAGTCCCCCCCCCCCCAGTGTCAGAATGCCCACCGCATTCCTGTTATAAGTTGCTCCTTGCCGCCATTACTAGTAAAAAAAAAAAAAACCTTAGAAAAATGCTAGTATATATAAACCTTCACAAAAAACAATTAATTTACACGTATTGGGATTTTTGTTTAGCAATGACATGTCGCAGAATAAATTTTGTCCAAAATTTATGACGAAATTAGATTTTTTTTTTAAAATTTGCTACTGGACATGTTTAATAGCAAAACAGTCAAAAATATTGGGTTTTTTTTCTTCAAAATTGTCTGTATTTTTTTGTTTATAGTGCAAAAAATTAAACCGCAGAGGCAATCAAATACCACTGAAAGAAAGCTCTATTTGTGGGAGAAAAAGGCCGTAAATTGAATTTGGGTGCAGCGTTGCATGACTGCGCCATTGTCAGTAAAGTGCGCCATGTCGCAAAAATGGCCTGGTTAGGAAGGGGGAGTAAATCCTCTGGAGGGCAAGTGGTTAATATCTGTTAACATCCTTAACTCTGCACATTGGCCATCTACTGCAGATTGACAGAAGTAAGTGAACAGTCACATTACTGCAGCTTGATGGCAGAAGGGCAGGTTAAGCCCATTTTGTATAGCAGAGTTGGGAAAAGCCAAAGACACTGTAATGAAATGAACATCTTGCTCTTTCTCATAGCCCATCGGCACGCTGGCCATTCAGCTCTCCCATCATAGAGGAGCCACGGTGATCGCAACGGCCAACAGTGAGGAGGACAAGCAATACCTGGATAAGCTCAGACCTGGTGTAGGTGAGATCTGCGAAATGCACATCACACCGCTCAGGGGTAGTAATAAGAACCTCACTTCCGAAATGGTCCTTCTGAAAAGGATCTGAAGATTAGCAGTTCCAACATGTAGAATCCAAAGGTCTGGACGGCTGCACATCCAACTTTATTGCAGTAGTAAAAATACATAAATACAGCAAAAATGACACTGAGGGCAGCAAGTAAAGGCAACGCGTTTCATGAATAAGAGCTGAAATGCATGAATAGTGAAATGCGTTGACTTGCCCTGCTGCCTTCACAGCGTCATTTTGCTGCATTTAAGTATTTTTACTACTACAATAAAGCTGGGGGTTTCTTCAGGGCTCGTTCACGCCGCGGTGCAGAGAAGTCAGTTTTTCTGTATGCATTTTGCAAGGGCACAATAAAATCAATTGTAACCATGATAAATAGGTTGAATCTCCCTAACAGAAACACAAGACAGCAAATCTGTATTCTGACATCTCTCCACCCTACGCAAGTCTTCAAAAAATATTTTGGCTTTAGATAAAACTTAAATCTGCACTCCAGACACAAATGCTTTGTTTTAAATATATTCCTCAATAGCCGCAAAGGATGTAAATCTACTTTGTGCACACCAATTGCCTTCACAAACCCAGATATTACCTTGTAAAAAAAACAGCAACATCATTGCTGTGCAGCCTAGAGCTATGGAGTGGATTCAGCAACTCCACCCACTTGCAGAAATCTACAGGGGGGTATAGACAAGAGCAGTCACCCTCCACACACAGGGAGCAGTTTCTGCAGTGCGTTTTTGTGTTTTTTTTTTTCCCAACTTGCTGGGCAGATCAAAAACGCACTACATGCTTTTCTGCAGCATCACCATTGATGTCTAAAGAACCAAAAACGCAACGTTTTGCGTTTTAAAAAAGTCCCTGACCCTTTCCAAAAAACGAATAGGGTGAAAACGCGGAGATGTGAACCTGTCCCATAGGAAATCATGTTAAATGGACTGCTGTGCGTTTCTGCAAAATGCAACGGAAAACGTATAGGTGTGAACCTAGGCTCACACTGGATTACTACACAGATCTGGAGGAAATACACAAAGCGCACAAGATTTAACCTCTTGGCGCTGGCCGAACACAAATGTGCGGCCTTACAGCATCTAGGCCTAGACAGTGAGCGGCCTCACATTTGCGATCTATTTAAAAAAAATGTACGTGTGCTGAGAGTGCGCGCGCCCAGCACACACGTTCGGTACTCACGGAAAGGTCCCGATCTCCTCTTTTTGATCAGGATCTTTCCTAATCATGTGACAGTGAATCACGGCGGTCACATGACCCTAAAACCCCGCCCCGTCACATACATTTTGTCCCTACTGCTTTGTCCTGTTCCCTGCCTGCATTTTGATTGTTCTTTCTGCCTGGAAATTTAGAAAAGTCCACGGCGTCCAAATAGTGTCCCTTTATGTCAAAATCGGTTTTACACCGGCTAGAGAACAGCGATAATAAATCAGAACTACTTGCAGAATTGAGTGATAATGATTCATGGGGGAAATTCGTCATCAGACACTGAAAACGATTTTGCGACTTTGCTCAGCGATGTGTGAACTTGGCGCTATATTTCAGTGTTTTTTGGTTTGATTATATTATTGAATTAAATGTATTATTATATTATTTTTTTATGAGTATTTCTTTTTTTTTTTTTTTTTTTTTATAAATATTTATTAAATTTTCCACTTCATATACAAAACATTTCGACATTTCTATTAAAATCATTATCACAAACGGTTTCTCTTCTTACGTAAATTATCCCTGTATATAACTTTCTTTTCTTACCCTCCCACCCTCCCCTTTTCCACCCCCCCCCTCCTCCACCCCCTCCCACGCTCAACATTCCCTTTACTCTCGTTAACTCCATATTGTTCTATTTTTCCTAAATCCCAGTTCTAAGTCTACTTCCAGGAATATTATCGCTTCATATATTTCACCTTTTCTCTGTAATCTTCCCAACCTTTCCATTTTTGTTTATACAACTCCAACTTATCCTCATGCGTATAATACAATCTTTCTGTCCTCTAGCCATCCAATCCTCCTTAGTTGGCACCTCTCTTTTCTTCCAGAATCTGGGTATCAAACTCTTTGCTGCGGTCAGGTAATGCCATATCCCCGAACTCTTATATGTTTTCACTGAGTTCTGAGATATGGAGGAGGCATAATTCTGGATCTAATCCTATATTAATTTTAGTGATTTTCCCTATCAAATAAACTATCCTCCGCCAGAACACCTGTATTTCTGGACACTCCCACCAGACATGATACCACGTGCCCTCCTCTCCACATCCTCTCCAACACATCCGTGATATTTCCCTGTTCATCTTGTGCTCCACGTTGGGGGTAATATGCCATCTATTCAAACACTTAAAATTTATTTCTACTTCCCTCATACTAATATTTTCGTGAATTAATGTGTACATTTTCCTCTGCTCCTCCTCCTCTATTTCTCTCCCCATATCTCTTTCCCATTTCTCTATGTGCGTTAATTTTGTGTCTGTGTCAAGTTCCATTAATATTTTGTGTATTTTTGCCAATCCGTGTCTACCATTTCCCCGTGACTCTAATATTCTCTCAAATGGGTTCCAATCTTTTCTAGTTCTTATAGGCTTTGGAAGGCTTTCAAAAAAGTAATATCTTAGTCTATCCATCTTATTAAAGACTTCACCCTTTTTTCCCTCCATGACCCTATATGATTCTATTTCCTCTCCTACCATTATATCTCTCAATTGCGCCTCCTGTTTTTATGATCCATTTCCCTTCTATACTATCCTTACCCGGAATAAAAAAATTTGTGTTTCTAAGTGGTATTAATTGTGAGTTAAAAACCCACCCCTTTTGTTTGTGTAGTAAATCCCATTCTTTTAAAACATTAAGAGTGTACGTGCTTGTGCTCTCCTCTAGTTCCCTATATTGTGCAGGTACCCAAATACTTTTACTTAAACTTATTCCACTCAGTGCTGTCTCTATTTTAACCCAACTTTTCTCTGGATTATGAATCCAGTCAAAAATTCTCGCAATTATCCCCGCTTTGTAGTATCTCCTAAAGTCTGGTACCCCCAATCCTCCTCTTTCTTTCTTTACTTCTGGTCAGTATTTCATAGCCTATTCTAGGTTTTTTATTCCTCCATATACATTTTATTATCATTTTCCTAAGTTCTTTAAAGTATGCCTCTCGGAGTTTGATTGGGATCGTTTGAAATCTATATAATACTTTGGGGACAATTACCATCTTTATCAAGTTTATACGACCTATCCATGATGGATTTCCATTTCCTACTCTCCTCAGCTCCTCCTTAATCTCATTTAATAATGTTATATAATTAGCTTTATATAGGTTCTTAATTGAGGCTGATAGTTTTATTCCTAGATATTTTAGTTCTTTATCTCTCCACAGGAAGGGGAATTCCTCTTGTAATTTTTTCTTTTTCGCTGTTTTTGAGGTTTATGTTTAAGATTTCAGTCTTTGTCGGGTTAATTTTCAGATTCGACAGGTCTCCATACTCCCTCAATGCTTTCATTAAATTTGGAAGTGCTGTTCTAGGGTTTCCAACATAAAACATCAAATCGTCCGCATATGCCACTACCTTATGTTCTCCATCTCCTATCTTTATTCCTTTTATATCTATGTTCTTCCTAATCGTGGACAGTAAGGGCTCCAGTGATATCACATATAACAATGGGGACAATGGACATCCCTGTCTTGTACCATTTGACATCTTAAAATACTCTGATCTTCCTCCATTTACCATTATGGTAGCGGTAGGCTCTCTATATAATTCTCCAATCCACCCTCTCATTCTATCTCCTATTCCTAACGCTTACAGAGTGCCCATCATAAAACCCCAACTTACTCTGTCGAATGCCTTCTCAGCATCTATCGACATCAGTATCGTTGGAGTTTTCCCTTTTTTACCCTCCTGTATAAGCAACAATGATCTCAAAGCATTATCTCTGCCCTCTCTTCCTGAGACAAACCCCGCCTGGTCTCTATGTATCTACTCTGGCATCAGCTTTTTCAATCTATTTGCCAAAACCTTTGCATATATTTTATTGTCAACATTCAGCAGTGCTATTGGTCGATAACTTGCACATTGTGAGGGGTCTTTATCTTCCTTCTGTATTAATACTATATTAGCCTGTAAGGATTCTCCCCTTATCTTCATTCTATTCCCCAAAGCATTCATATAAATCTTCATTTTAGGAATTAAAAGCTCATTATATTTTTTATAGTATTTAGCCGTATATCCATTCGGACCTGGACTTTTCCCTCCCGCCATGCTTTTTAACGCTATCTTTATTTCCTCTGGAGTTATTTCTGCCTCTAAAGAGTTCAGTTGTGTTTCTCTTAATTTCTGTAGGCCTGCCTCCTCTAGATATGTCTTTCTTTTCTCCCTATTTACTATTTCCGTTTTCTTAAACATATCCTGAGGTATGATATTATGCAACTCATTATAATACTCTTTAAATATTCTAGCAATATCCTTGGTTGAGTGTACAAATTCCCCCTTAGGATTTCTTATTTTCTCAATATAATTTCTATTTTTCTTCTTTCTTAAAGTTCTCATTAAGTACTTTCCCAGCCTATCTCCCATCATCTATACCTTTCACATGTTATTTTAATAAAGACTCTTCTTTTTTCCTCCTCCATTACTTTCTCTAATTCTTCTTTCTTCTTTATTATCAGTTGCATTATCTCCTTAGATCTTTCCCTTTTATGCACCTGTTCATGATCATATATTTCCTCTAATAATCTATTTATCTTTTCTCTCCTTTCTTTTTTGCCCCCATTGCAATGAGTAGACCTCTAATGTAAGCTTTATGTGCTTCCCACACCGTTGCAATCGAGACATCCTCTGTTTCATTCTCTTCAAAAAACCATTCAATTTCCCTCTCTATTCTTTGACCAATCTCTTCATCCATGAGAAGTGCCTCATTCATCCGCCACACATATCCTTCTCTCTCCTCTCTACC